AGCCATTGTGCGCCGTTGTTTTTTTGGAGTCATTTAGTTCATTTACTCGATGTATTTGATAATAACAATGTTTCAATTTAAATTCATGATAAGAAAATCATATTGCTATACTTATTTCTATTGGTATGATTCGGTCTGAAAATTTCGACAGGTAAGTACCTTTAATTAAGATTACTATTCAATTTCTTGATGTGACCGTTGAAAAGGTTTAGATTAGTGTAAATTTCTATAAACTTAATAATTATATAGAGTAATTTCTACCAATAAAACCCAGAACCTAATAAAACCTTACATCAGTAGTTTTATGGGGGGACAGTATCCGCTAGGGGGGACACTATCCGCGTCGCTGATAGTGTCCGGGGGGACACAATCCGCTAGCAGATAGTGTCAGGGGGCATAATCCGCTAGCGGATAATGTCCGGGGGGACACATTCTGCGGGGGACACTATCCGCTGCGACACCGGGTTTTTGTCGAGGAAACGCAAAGAAATATTATTATTTGCCGAAAATTTACATAATTGAGCGCCTTAGAAAAATAAATCAAGGTAGGTAAAGCTTTACTGTTTTTAACCTTATATTCTGTTATTTGTTGTGACTTTGGAGCCGCTGTGCTCGCGGCTGATTATTTATCAATTATCAGGTGTTTATATTTATTTATTATATAAAGTATAGTGCTTTATAGAGATTTCGAGCACTGCTAAAAGTGATAATCTCACATGTGAGATTATTTATGATAATCTCACATGTGAAAATTATCGCTTTTCCAATTATCGCTTTTCGGTAAAAAAAATATCGCTTTTCGAAGACTGTGCTTTATATAATAAACAGAAAAATACATGGGTGCTTGGAAATACCAGATTTATTTCTCGTGTTGAACATGATATCTCACTCGTTCGCTGCGCTCACTCGTGAGATATCATGTTCAACACTCGAAATAAATCTGGTATTTCCGCGCACCCATGTATTATTCTCTATATATCGTGAAGGCTTACTGTATTTTGCGAAACGAAACTTTGCGAAACTGTATTTTGCGAAACTGCATTTTGCGAAACTGTATTTTGCGAAACTGTATTTTGCGAAACTATATTTTGCGAAACTGTATTTTGTCATGATTCTGCTACTAGAGTTGGCAAACATTTGTTTATAAAGACAAAATAAATCAAAGACAAAGTGTAGTACGTTGGTTTAAATGCTTTCAGCGGTGGAACTTTATACATGTACATATAAAATGGAGTGGATTGATTTTGAAAGAAAATATGGCGACACCACCATATAGAGATTATAAATAACTCTAGAGTGGGCATCGTGATCTTCTTAAATTCAGTCAAAGAAAGGGAACGCGTTTATTGGGGGCAAAAAATAAAAGTTAGAGTTTGAACCAATATATCTAAATTCTTTTTTATGAATTCTGAATGTTTCTGAATTCTGTTGTTCACTGATTTATACAGTACGTCATGGCTGTGGTGTCTATAGTCATAGAGATTATAAATAATGATAGAGGGCGCATCGAGGGTGAAATTTGGGAGCGCGATAATGGGGGGGGGG